AAATGTTCATAACTATATTTAACATTTATTTGTTCATCAGAATTTTAGAAATTACTCGTTGAAGTTTGATACCATAATATGTACAGTTCTAAAGATAGATTATGTTCGACTGTGTCCCTCTTTATCGAATTATCTTAAAAATTAGTCATTTATTGTATATATAATGACAGTTTCTTGTCAATTCATAAAGATAATTAAATTATACAACCACCACAATTTTTTTTATCAAATATGATGCATAACAAATACATGAATTTTCATCTTCCATGAATAGGGACATTTACCTTATGTGCAGTGAGGAGTAAACGCTGTATGTATATACAGTAGTAGAGCTGAGTCAAGCTTTGTCTGCTTCCACACGGTCAAGCAAACGCTGTACCATGACGACTCATACTATTATACAGGTGCTACGGATACATTTACATGTAATTGTCCGTGCATGCAAGCGTTTGACAACGCATCAGGATATTTTATTTCCGTATTTCTGATACGGATTTCTCTTCGTGTATAGGTGTAGACTTGCAATGGTTGCAGTATCTGCACTATTGCTGCATACATATGTATACATGTATGCACGGGTCGGCTGAATTATGAATGTGAGTGGATTATATAATATAGTATAGAGGCCCGCTTGGCGAGCTGCTCGCCAGTCAACAGCAGCAGCAGCAGCAGCAGAACTGTACTGTATATGTATAGGTACAGTTCACAGCCACTGGAGGTAGAAGGGAGAGACTACTTGACCATGTCGCAAAGTTATTTCATTTTTTGAGAGACACTCTCCAAGCCGAGATCCCGAACGTCCCATGAAAAGCTTCGCTTCAAAATATATTCTCAAATGTCGCAATCATCGCAGCTAATCAAAATATTTTGTACATTGCTACAAGCATTACGAACTTCGTTGGATAAATATTAATTCTGCAAGACTAGAATATTATGAAAATATTATTGGTCGTAGATTAGAGCTGTAGTTCAAATGTAGAATATAGTAAACGTTTACTGCAACGTTGAAAAAAAAAATTTATACTGCATGTATTGAGATATACGCTCTAATTAATTTATCCTGTAACACATGCTTGGATAATGAATAGTAGTAATTGAAAAATAATATACTTTGTACTACGCAGAATTCTTTTATTATCATTATAGTGGGTGATTAAAATTTTTGTGGATTGATGTATGAGTATAAGTTGCTGGTTTGCTTATCGTTTCTCACTAATTGTCACAGACTATACAGTGTGTTATGTGTCAAAATTATATATGAAACCGTGAAGTAAATAAAAATGTATAAAAACTGTCAAATTATCGAAGTATTATGTAAATTTTTTTTGTATGATGCCTAATACATAAGACATATGATAAAATGAAACTGTTAACTAATAATGAATAACAACAATTAATAATAAATTGTAGTTGTACAGGTCTCAAAAATTTTATAAGATTTTAAATGCCCACGGTGTGACCTCCATGTATTGATCCCGAGACCACGATCGCTTATACTGAGCTAGTACAAAGAGGTGAATGGCGCGATCAATCAGTTCGTTTCAGTGATCCGCGAACCAGCCACGGTTTTATAGTATATGTACCAATGGTAGCAGATACAGAGAGAGAGAGAGAGAGAGAGAGGGGGGGCGATAAAATAGTCTGGTCAGACCCATATAAGCAAGCTCTTACTTAAAACTACAGGCAGAGTGGATTCTCTCCTCTCTCTCTTTTCTTCTCTACAACGTCAAGATCTCGTATGTTCTCCCCTCCGCTCGACAAGATTTTTTTTACTCCCTCCGACCCGTCGTACCATCTCATAAACACTTATATGCAATACTTTAGACCCATCCAAGCAGGGTCCTACTCAGGTGGTGGGGGTTTATTTTGACGGGCCAAAGTGTTGCAACAACTACTGACATCTATTGTGCGGCATAAACACTATGAGTGCAAAACGATATGTATATGTACTTTGTACAGTGATACAGTTAGGCAGACAGAACATGGCCGTTGCCGCGCGCGCACGCCCTCGTAGAGTCTCTCGCGGTATCAAGAGAGGAGATTTTGTAATCTTAAATAATTTTTATTTTTGTTAGTAAATATATGAATTTAAGTATTATTAAGTGTAACATTATTAATCCACTACTTCCAAGTAAATATATTTGACATAGTATCGAGTCCGTGGTTATTATAGCTCTTTTTTAATTATGCTATACTTAATTCATTAAATCATCAGATAACAGATGACTTAGTTGTTAAATAAATTCATGTTTTAATTTCAAATATTTCAAGATTCAAAATTTTTATTAATAAAAACCAGTGGACAGTGGGTTCTTGGGTAGCCAAGTATGAAGTTATACTTCTATAAAATTATATGGCAAACAATATAATTTTGAGTATAACAATACCTTCTATGAAACAATATTGTGTACGAAGGTGGTGCAATTATTATAATTATGATAAGTATCGTGGGAATGAGTATACCTACGTTGATTGGGTGTGATTTTAACTAATATATAATGAGTTAATGATTATAAACAACATATTACGGCACAATACAATAAAAATAATATACAGGCTGACCAGTCCAAGACTGTGCACTTTCATCGAATCTTCCGGTGATTTTAGAACAACATTCTATTGCCTATGCTGATTACACCTGTAACGTCACGCTCATATCTATCACGTACGATCCCACACTTATTTTTTGTCCATATTTAATACTGAAAATATAATTGTATAAAAAAAATTGAGAAAAATCATCCTGTAATATAGTTTACTTCGATAGAGTAGTATTACATGCCAGTGAATGTCCCTTCAAGACGTTCATCACACGTGGGTTTTTTGGACATATATTATTCAAACGTCAAACGTACATTGAAATAGCATAAAAAATACCCACGGACGTTGCAGCTCGTTTGACTGTACCAGTATTTTATACATGATACATAAAAAAAATGAATATTTAACATATAATCACATGAAAAAATTACATAAAAAATTATTTATATGATTTGTAAGAATCTCCTAATTTTTTGGGTACAAAAGATTACGTGGAGAAAAACCTATTGAATTTTCAAATAGACCCACAAGTAAAATTTTGAATGGATTTAGAAAGAGGGGATGTGGTGTGCATGAAAGCATGTATATGAATACATCCACATGAGAAAAAGAATTGCCAGCTTTACTCTACACATTAGCGTTCCTGTCATTTCTCTGAACTTTCCCCCACAAACTATGTGAAGAATGTCCTTAAATCAAAAAACCACTTGAATCACTAATGAAAACTATTGAATCAATAATCATAGGTAAAATTGGAGGTGTGTCAGGGAGTGAAGATGAATTAAATTAACATATTTCTAGCAAAAGTACAACTTACAGGGTCAGGACAGATGTTGAATTTGGCGGGAGTGAAGTTAGGGAGCAGAAAGTGTTGGCGAGCAGGCAACGGATTGATCGAGGATTGGTATTTGTGGTGTCTCGAAAGATGACATAATTAAACACACTGGTTGCAGTTTAATGGACAACGTTTATTCTGTAATATAATATAATACAAGGTTCTGATACGCTGTAGAGCTGAGCGGCTTCTATATCTCTTATGAGGCGTGCGAACCGTACACCTAGCCGTCTTATTGTATACTAACTGGCCTGTGTTTCGGCGTGGGTCAATCGCTCGTATAGAATCAGTTTACATGCATTGGTATTGCACAGAGCGTTCTCATATTCACGAGCTCAATACATGACAATTTCTCTCTTTCTAGTTTAGAGGTATCCTTTAATTTATCGCGAAGCCTTGCTGATCTACGTAAAATATTTCCTTCGAAGGAGGGCCGCTTTTGTGTAAAAGGTTTTTCGTTTTTGATTTTTAATTTTTCTATAACCCCTCTTTTTGGATTGTTAGTATTATCAGCTTTAATAATTTGGTTTAAATGGCGTTTGCTGATCGACACGTCTTTAAATTCTATTTCATAACAAACCGGGGACAATACTTTCTTTATAGTTGCCTCGGTACGCTTTTGGGTATCTTTTCTGTAATCGTTAGCATACACTACGTCTCCTACAGAGAAATTCACATTGCGCGATCCGTGTTTACATTTTTTTTGTTTGTATTGATTGTACTCTACGATCTGTGTAACATTTGGTTTGAGTAAGTCGAAGTGGTTGCGCAGATTTCTAGTAAATATCATTTGGGCTCGTTGTTGTACAATGTTCTGTGTTTCTATAATCGCTTAAAAATCGGTTTACGGAAAATTCCAGCGTGTTACTGTCTTTGATCATTTTATCGACTTTATCTTTAAAAGTTCAGACAAAGTTCTCAGCCACACCGTTTGTGACTGGGTGAAATGGTGGTGAAAACGTATGCTTGATTTTACAGTACTTAACGTACGACCCGAATTTTGCACTCGTAAACTGAGGACCATTATCGCTGACCTAAAGTTTCATACAGACTAAAAGTTTCGTCCAATACTGTAATCAGATTTTTTTAAGTTGTATTTGTTTTCATGTTTATAGCTTCAGGCCACTTCGAATGAGCATCAACAATTACCAAAAACATGCAATTGTAAAATGGCCCCAAAAAATCGACATGTATACGAGTCCACGGTCGATCAGGCTAAGGCTAAGGTGTAAGTGCAGCCTTTGGGGGATCCGGTCGTAATCACAAGCATACTTTGCACGAACTGGCGACGACTTTGATGTCGTCATCTAAGTTCAGCCATCAGAAATAATTTCTCGCAATCTGTTTTATTTTAACCATACCCCGGTGCGATGAATGTAAATCTTTTAATATTCTATTTTGTAATTTTTCTGGGATAACTATTCCTTTATTCCAAAACAAGCAATTTTTCTCGATGATTAATTCGTTCCTTTTAAAGTAAAATTTTTTTCCAATTCGTTTAATTCGTCGTGCCTGATCCAGGTGGTTTGAACAAATTGAATAATTCTTGTTAAAATTTTGTCCCTTACAGTGTTAGTAGATATAACAGAGAAATCGAAGATTTCTAACCCTTCTTTGACATAATTTAGGCTACTATACTCAGATTCGAATACTTTTGTTCTGTCTTCCACCAGTAATCTTGAGACTGCGTCGCAGTTGCCGTTTGTCTTTAATCTTACAATATCAATTGTATATGTATATGTCGATAAAAAACATGCCCACCTCTGGAGCCGACAGTGAAGCATGGTGTTTACATTTTATGTTCCAATAATGAATTTCAAAGATTCGTGATCTGTTTTCAAAACTATATTGTTGCCATAAATATGTTGATAGAATTTTTTTTATCCGAAAATGATAGGGCCTGCTTTTTTATCTATAATTACCCAATGAAGTTCACTTTTGGGTGTAATTTTAGACGTGGAAGCTATGGGTTTCTCAGTGCTGTCATTATACCTGTGCGACAGTACTGCTGACAAACTGCGAAAGCTAGCATCGCACGCCAGGACTAGTTTCACTTTAGAATTATAAAGTACTAGTATCTTTTCTGAAGTAATTTCTTTTTTGATCCAATCAAACCCCATCTGGCATTCGTCTGTCCAGGCAAATTTTTTCTCTTTTAGAGCTTTGTACAACGGTTTTACATGTTTCGCCCCGTCTTTAAGAAAACGCTCATAAAAATTTAATAGGCCTAAAAAGGCTGACAGCTCTTTTTGATTTTGCGGTATCGGAATTGTATTAATTGCATTTATTTTCGAATTACTTTTCTTTAAGCTCGTTTCATTGAGTACACAGCCAAGGATTTCGATTTCACTTTAAAAAAATCACATTTTTTTGAATTTACTCTTAACCCTGCTTCTTGCAGTCTCAATAAGGTTTCACTTAAAATTTCTTGGTGTTTGGAGTCAGTACGGCCTGTGCAATAAATATTATCAATATATATTTCAGTAAATTTGATGCCTTTCAAAATGTCTTCTAATATATCTTGGCTTTTAGCATGACTCGTTGATATTCGTTCACCAAGTTTTCTATAGCGCAACAATCCCTTGTGCGTAATAATAGTTAACGCCTCCCTAGATTGTTCATCTACTTCAAATTGTATGAAGGCGTGTTTAAGGTCTATTTGTGACCATTTAGTACCCACTCTGAGTGTGTAAAAAATTTTTTCCTTGAGCGGCATAGAGTAGCGTTTAACTACAATTTAAAGGTTTACCCTTAATTTAAAATTTCCGCAAATTCTTACTTCACCATTTTTTTTTAAACTGTTGTGATAGGGGTTGCCCATTTGCTTACTGATACCGGCTCAAGATTACCAGCTTCTACCAATCTGTCTATTTCTGCTGAGATTTTTGGTAGCAATGCGAAAGGCGCGTGATACGGCTTCAATTGAATCGGTTTGACATTTTCCTTGAAGACTAGACTAATCTTTCTCCCATAAAAGGTACCCTGTGTATCAGAGACCAATATGGGAAATTTTTCTGCCTTCTGTCTCTGTATATTTTTTGTAGTAAAGTCTAAAACCTTACTAAAGTCTAAAAATACTCGAAGGCCATAAATTAAAAATTTTCAACCATTGTCTTCCCATTAAGATTGGATCATTGCCTTCCATAATATACATATCCACCTTTTCTGATCTACCGTTAAAGTCGACGTTTACAGTTAAGATGCCAAGCGGTTTCAATTGAATATTGCCGTAGCTAGTTAATTGTAAGTTCTCTCGCATTGCTTCGTTTGGAAAATATTTTCTTTTGTCTTTGTTAGAGATCACTGTTATATAAGAGCCAGTGTCGACTTCCATCGTTACAATAACATTATTTACTCGAATTTTGAAACAAAGTGGTTTAGCTTTAATTTTAAATATTTTTTCGTGATCTATAATTTCGCTTTTTAAAATTCCAAAAAACTCTTTCGTGAATGATTTTTTGCTTTCTGTATCGGATTCAGTGCCTGAATCGGTTTTATTTTTTTCTACCGATGCTAGTTTATGACATTTACTTTGAGACGTGTTTTTATTTTTATTTTCGTTTGCAAATTTATCCATCGCTTCATGACCGAATTTTTTTTACATACTCTTTCCGGATGGCCCTGTTTTTTACAAAAATTACAACTCAAATGATTCAATCGGCAGTTACGTATCTCGTGCCCGAAAAACCTGCAACACTGACAGACTATTTTCGTTCTTCGCTGATAGTTTACGTTCCTGAAGTTACCTACTTTTGTACCTTCTCATTCTTCATTGTTGTGATGATTTCTTTACCTTCTCGTGGTGCGCATCGCGTTTATCGAATTTTCCGTGCTGAGACGATTTAATGTTTTTGCTGCATTTTGGACGGCCGCTTCTCTTGTCAACGCTATTTTAACCACCGAATCAAATGTTAATTTTTCTTGACTGAACAATTACACTTTAGTTTCTTTATCAGCCAGTCCACAAGAAAATCTGTCTTTAAGTGTGTCTTCTAAATCCTTGAAGTTGCAGTTTATAGCAAGGTCTTTGAGAAGTTTCACAAATTTTGCTATAGACTTGTTCAGGGCTTGTCTGGCGTTATGAAAATTACAGCGTTCCATAACTTCATTCTTTTTTAGATTATGAAATTCTTTGACAATTTTTATAACGACGTCAAATTTTTTCTCAATTAGTTTGGTCGGCGCACACAAATCTTACATTATTTTAAATGTTATAACACCACTTTTAGTTATAAATTGTGCGACACGTTCGATATAATCGTCCCAAGTTTCTTTTTGTGGAATGAATTCCCAATTGTCCCCTATGTCACTTCTTGTTTCCAAACGTGAACCTTTACTTGATATTGAGTCACTGTCTCTTTCGGAAGTTACAGTATTATCATTAGAGCTTGTTTGTGTTGTGGTGCCCGATTTACTAGTACTGGCTTCTTGAAAATTGTCTACTGTTGAGACAGTTGGCATTTTATGTGACCTTTTTTGTAAATCTGATTGTTTGATTTATTCATTACTTTTTTCAATTTGTTTAACGTTACGTGATTTAATATTTCTTCTACTGAAAAATCACTTAATAACTGTATTATTTCTTCTTTGCTCAAATCTGTTACTTGCAGTTGCGAAAGCTTTCCTCTGTTTGGTTCCATTTGCATTGCACCTTCCATTTTAATATTGCAAATCACTTGAGCTTTTCACGTTCATCCTCGTCGCCAAAATTATGGTGTCTCGACAGGTGACATAATGAAACACACTGATTGCAGTTTAATGGATAACGTTTATTCTGTAATTTATTATAATATAAGGTTCTGATACACTGTAAAGCTCAGTGGATTATACATCTCTTATAAGGCGTGCGAACCGTACGCCTAGCCGTCTTATCATATACTAACTGGTCTGTATTTTGGCACGGATCAATCACTCGTATAGAGTCAGTTCACATGTATTGGTATTACACAGAGCCTTCTCATATTCATAAGCTCAATACATTACAGTATTGATGGTTGGTACGGCTTCTAGGCAAGGGACGATATATATA